GACCGTACGATAAACTTTGGATGATGATAATAATAGACAAAATCACTGTTCATTTTCACTTATAAGCATTGAAAAGGCTTTTTTTTTTATCTATATATATACATTTATATATATATATATATATATATATATATATATTTATATATATGAAAAATACTCGTGTAAACCTGTTCGCGCATAGAAAACCAATGAGCCCAACAGCTCAGATCGTATCATCTTGTTTCAATGCCTAGGATGATGCTTGGCTGGTCAACCACATTTCAAATTTTAAAAACCTCATTTAATTTGTTGTCAGGTACCTATCACATCATGCAGTGCCATAAGATTTAAAGGTTTGGACATATGGTAAGAGAGGCACAGGTATAAATAGATAAAGAGGGGGCTAGAGAGCCACAGCAACATTCTCTCTCATGCATGGACAAGCCCTATCGCATACATGCTCTCCCTCTTTCCCTCTTGCATGTGACGTCTTTTCTCGTCATTATATCACACGCACACGCACGTCTTTTCTCGTCATTATATCACACGCACACGCGCACACACAGAGGTCTTCAGAGTCTGCTGCTTTAGTTTTTAGCAGAGTTTCCGAACTTCCTCCAAAAATATTATATGCTATTGCTCCTTTTATTAAGAAACATGACACACTTCACAAGAAATTTGCTTCTGGCATATCTTGTGGGAATTCCACCATGGAGCTCTTCAATTTTTTTTCCAAAAAGAATTGTTGAATAATAACATTAAAATACAAATACTAAATTACACATCTCAGGTCAACACAAAAAAGGCGAAGGATACAATGGATATTATTTTCTTTGTAATTGAAATTAGGAGCTTTAAATTATGGAAGTGCACAAAACACGCACACAGAGAGAGAGAAAAGTGGATTTTTAATTGTTTAAATACCTTTCCCAACCTTCCTTTTCTAACTTCTCTGCCTTAGTTAACACTGTATCCTTCATGTCCTCTTGGTATTGAATCATCCTGGGACATAACAAACAAATATTTTTCAAGAATGAACTGAACTGAACAACTTAACCATGAGAGAGAAAGAGAGTACTTAACCATATGAGAGAGAGAGAGTTGAGCAAACAAAATTCATGTGACCATATCGATAGAAATGAAACCTTTTCATGTATCTCCACTCACATAGTGTTCATATCGGATATAACATGAGCATATCGTACATTTGCTCCCTCATGCAAAAGAGCTACTTAGGTATAACATGCTTCCACAAGAACTACTTCCGGAGGATTTTTTTTTGAGAAATATCTCTATACCCCCCATTTTTAAGTTTTATATCTCAATAGACTCAAGGTTTCAAAACATATCTTGGGTCATAAAAATTATAAGTTTTATATCTTTTAACCCTCTAATCCAACTTTATCCTTTTTAAACTTATTTTTTTGCCCCAAACAAATATAAGAAAGACATATCATTTCCAAACATCATCATTTCTTTCTTTTCACATGATTTTCCCTTAAACATCTCTCTACATATTTTCCCACTCTCGCCCTATGTCTCTCACTCTCTCTCCCCCCATGTCTCTCACTCTCTCTCTACCATTAGAGAGAGGGTAAATGTTGGAGAGAGAAATTTGGGAGGAATATATCACGTAAAGAGATGAAAGATTTAAAATGAGCATGTCTTTTTTATATTTGTTAAGGTTAAAAAAATAGTTAAAAATGGGTAAAGCTAGTCAGGGGGTTAGGAGATATATTTTGAATCTTTAGATCGATTGAGATATGAAAATAAAAAATAAGGAGTACGAGGATTTCCCCTTTTTTTTTAATCGGAAATTTTGGGATCTACCAAATAATCACTAAATGATTATTAAAAAAGGAAAAAAAATAGATTTTGAGTTCCTCAACACTTAGATCTTACTATCCAAATATTTTTCAATCTTGGAATGTTATTTTCTTAGAGCATATAGAGAGCGTAATTTTTGCATTCTCTATATGACAATTGTGAGACCAGCTTTGCTTTATGGAGGACGGAATATTGGGTGATCAAGAAACAACATATCCATAGAATGAGTATAACTAAGATGAGGATGTTGAGATGGATGAGTGGCAAGACAAGAATGGATAGAATTCGAAATAAATATATTTGGGAGAATTTAGGTGTGGCACCAATAGGCAATAAGATAAGATAAAATAGACACAAATGGGCTCGTCATATGCAATGCAAACTCAGTACAGCACCTGCTAGGAGGTACAAGTTAGTTTAAGTGGAAAACTCAAAAAAAACAAAAGGTAGGCCCAAAAGGATATGGTTGGAAGTATTGAGAAAATATAGGTGAACTTATGGCCAAACTAAGGGTATGACTCTTGATAGAGCAGAATGACAGATCAAGATTCGTGCGGCCGGCCCCAATTAGTTGGGAAAACACTCTGATGATGATAATGATGATATAATTCTTTTTTTTCTTTCTTTTTTTGAGGTTGGCCACTAGGTTCAAGAGCTTACATCCCCAAAATTTGGGGTCCTAAAATACTCCTAACTTTACCCGAGGAAGCATTTGGACGGTATACTTATGTCGGAGCAAGAAATCATCAGTTATGTGTATGGAGACTTTTAGCTATCCAATCTTCATGCACATATAGATTATATCTAAAGAAACACAGAAAGCTGGCCCTCAGTTGGACTAATTCATTCATGCTGTAAATTATAGAACAGAAGTAACCAACCTTCTTTGTAAGTCACAGTTTTGGGTCGCCAAAATGCGAACAGCTAGTAAACCTGCATTTGTTGCATTTTGTATTGCCACAGTTGCAACGGGGACACCTTTGGGCATCTGAAGATTTCCAGTACAAGAGAGAGAGAGAGAGAGAGAGAGAGATTAAAAGAAGCTGGCACAATTATATTGTGACTATCAGGAATGAACAGTTTTCGTAACTTGGAAAACACTTGAAATAGTTGAGAAGGCAAAAAATATAATTGATACTAAGTTTCATATCAGGTGCAATGCTATATGCTAGAGTCATCTTACAAAACCAAATGTGGTTATCTTTTAGTTTCAGTAGAACCAGGACCAGTGAGCCGAACTGGTCACCACCGATCCCGAACCAGCTCAAAAAAACACCCAAGCTGCCTTGCTGATTCTCTGGGGGCATTTTATGTATAGAGAATTTAAAAAATATTTTTTTTTTGAGAAAATTGCTAAGAACCATTAGGGCCAAACCGGTAGCCTTGGACCCAGACTGGTACCCCAGAGCTTCCAAGCCAACTCTGGCAGTTCCAAGGCAATTTTGAAAACACTGGTTTCAACAAATGCTAAAAACAATCCTTCCAAATTTCAGCACTAAATCACAAAAATAAATAGAAAGAATGAAAAATAAAAGCGATACCTATGGACATACCTGTACAATTGACAACAGTGAATCAATTCCATCCAATGAAGAAGCCTTTACTGGGACACCAATAACCGGCAATGGACTCAACGAAGCCACCATTCCTATATTATGAAAGGGAGATTCTCCAATCAACAGAAATATGGTAGTCTCCTGCAGTTAGTATACTGACTAATCCAAGACCACCTTTGTTTTAAAAATTTAAAGTCAAGGAAGAACCTGGTAAATGGGCCGCACCACCTGCGCCAGCAATAATAACTTGGACACCTCGCTCATGGGCATGAGAAGCATAAGATACCATTCTTTCTGGAGTCCGATGAGCTGAAGTAATTGTTATCTGGATTTACACAAAGGCAAAAGCTCTTCTAAGACACAAGGAAAACACACAACTCTCTCTCTCTCTC